ACACACACACACACACACACACACACACACACACACACACACACACACACACACAGATATATTTATGTTAATAACATCTTAACATATGCAGTGTTTATTTCCTCATATATTGGATTTACCTGAGTCTGTACATTTCTCCTCTCTCTTCATCCCCAGCTTTTGATAAATGATCCTCTCGGGGTCCACATATATTTCATAAGGATACCCGGTCAGTAAACAGAACGGCTAGAGAGATTAAAAACGAAATCAATATGATATGATGAATGAGTGTGGCATACTGTAAATATGCATGAAAATCACTGAATGAATTACCTCTATATGATGATGAGCAGCCTGGCCAATCACAACCAGTCTAATGGCAGCATCCTGCAAAAAAGGCAACAAAATGTGGAGTTTTCGAAATTGTCTTATAATCATCCAAGCAGGAGCGGACTGGGACTACAAATCAGCCCGGGACTCTCGACCGGCCCACTTCGGTACCGCCGGCCCACCGCGGTACCGCAAGTAAATACCGCTAGTAAATTGTCGACGGGGCCGGTGGAATTGTATTTTCACTGGCCCCACCATTGTAACCACTAGCCCGGAGCATTCGTCCAAAAATGAATATGACTTATAATGAATAAAATTAACACATTTGTTGCAATAGTCATTTATGCACTAACTACATTACTACAACATTTGAATCATCAGTTCTTCCTCATTTTCCTCAATTGTTCATATTTGGTTTATTAAAATAATGATATTGTGGTCATCGTTTAAAAATACGTCTGCTGCTATTATTATGAGTATTATTTGTATAATGCACTTTCTGCCTTCCTGTCATTAGGAATTAGACATGTCATGGCTATGTAATTGATTTGATTAGAACCTTCATTATCCTAAACTGCTGGGACATTTCGCCAATACCTTTATATTGTTTACTCTTCTAATGAAGGTTCTAATCAAATCAATTACATAGCCATGACATGTCTAATTCNCAGAATCAGCACTTTTGAAACAGGGCTGAAACAGAGGGGATTATGGGATGCTACAATTATCTGTTTGGTATTTGGAGCCAAACACTACTTGAGACATGTGTTGTATATATCTGAGACCTATAATATATAGATGAAAAACAGTATAATAGGGGACCTTTAAATTCAAGTATATGATTTGTGCAATTTAAGGCAAGTTTAACCAAATCAGAAAGGAAAATAAATCGCACCCAAAAAACAGTCTAATACAGAAAGCTAAATCTTAAAAGTCAAAGTATTAATCTATGCTATAGATGAGTTTGTACAGTCAACACATTACATTTGGTTCTTTATCCGAAAAAAGGCCGAAATATATATTAAGTTATAATAAACTACGTTTAAATACCACTGCATACAATGGTGTGAAACATTATCAATATTCTCAAATCTAACACAAAATAGTTTACCTTTTATTGCTTGCATACACAAAAGCATAGAAACATGCTGCTAAAACACCATACCACCAGGACCAACTGTAATTGAATATACTGCCGCTACGATTAATTCAAGTGTATGTATAACCACTACTAACCAGTTCCCCAGGCTATACTGTATAGCTGTTAAACAGTTCCACTCCAAAACCCTCACTTCCCTGATCCATCTTCATACTTGTACTGTGAATGCCAGTCTTAGAGGACACTAATAGCAAACAAAGAGTTATATATTTCAGTGGAACTACTACTACTGGAACTACAATTTCTACAAATACTACCTCAAAATAAATGCAGTTATTAACAGCAGAGATTTCCTTGACTGCTGCAGCTGCGCTCTGTTTTTGCCCTGCCAAACAAATACTGTATATTTGGTTTTGGCAATACCCTTGTCATTTATGGCAATCTGTAACTGTTCAACAATAAAGCCAGCTATAGTGGCTGTCCCATCGACATTCACTTGACTTTCTTTTCTTTGTAAATACTTTTATATGAGCCACTCTGGGGATCCAAGTGAGCATCCTGCCACTCCAAGATCTTTTTCTTTTTTTTTCAAAAAGTAATTTCACCTTTGTTATTGATGGAGTCTGGAGAAACTGCCTCATGTTGATGTGGAATCTTTTCCTAGGGTAACTAATGTTGAAAAGAAAACATTGTAGGAAGGTGAAGTATGGCTTTGGAGGCACACTTCACAGGCTCACATTTACAAAGTGCCTTCACTTTCTTCCCTTTAAAACTTGTTTTGTTCTTGGGCAGACGGCAGAGGGAACATATCGACGATGTCTGTGTCTGAGTGCAGCCGGCTGTCCAACTTAAAGTCAGAGCTCATTAATGCATCGGATTACTCTTCAGGCAAAGGACGATCAGCAACCACACACACACTTTCACAAACACACAGCAGCTTTTTGGGGACACAGGTCGATACGGAGGCACTTCAAAAGAGCAATGAGGAGGAGGATATAGGAGAGAGGAATGTGCTGCTAGCTTAGACTACATACTGAGAATGTAAGCAGTGGAACTGGTGAAAACAAAAGTTTAGGAGTATAACTCTTCACTTAGTTTATTGCTTAACAAATTAACTCCATGTCTTTGCTGTAATGAGTTAGACACAGTTTGTTAGACAAGGCTGTGACTAACAACTGATGTCATTTTTTGACCTATAAAAGGTCAGAAAAAAAGCATAATTGAATGCTCATATCACCCAAACCCAAAAGTGAAATATTCAAACAGATTGTCTGGCCAACACTGAAGAGGTAAACATACATGCTTTTTCTGATGGTAGAGATTTCTGTTTGGTCAAATGCCGTATTTCAGTTCCAAAAGGATCTGTCGAGTTCAACAGTAGCATAGTTTATTGTCAGTAAAAGATGACTTAAAGGTTCAGTTTACATTCAGTGCTACTCACTAAAAACACATTGTGTTTATCCTTGAGGCCATTTCCTAACTCCTAAAACATTTGCCAAGTCAATTCTTTAAATATTTTAAATGATGAGTGGTTGTGGCCAAGTGGGCATGAAAACATAGCTACTAGTGTTCAAAAACTACACAGGGTGCTTTAAGGCAGTTAATTCATTTCCAAAATGATTGCAGAGTAGTTTTATTTTAATAAATGTGTTTGTCGTTTCAGATCTAAGAAAGTGCTAACAGCCTTACCAACCTTTCACACAAATGTTTCTTTCACCACGACAGTATCCACAACTAAAATAATGTGAATAAATGTTACAATTTATAAAGAAGATTTTTTAAAAAGAGAGCATATTCAGAAATAGGCAGTGAATACCTAAAGGCAAAAAGATAAGGTAAAAGGAAGGGATGAAAGATACGAAATGGAAAAAGGAAAAAATATATACTTTTCAAAATATGAAATGTTGACAATGCCTAGATATGGCTACCTCCAAACTCTGGGCAAAGACAGACAAAGCAAGCAAAATAAAAATAAATACGTACAGGAAAAACTAAAGAGACTTTGTGATGACTTACTAGCAAGGAATTTCTAGATGGGAGCAGAGCTTTTTCCACAGTCTGACCGACATAATCCAGTGCCATTAGCGGATAAAATGACTAAATACAACACACAACATCTGACATTCAACATCCTGAAAAGTCAAACAACTGACCATGAAGACTGGAAGGGATTGAGGAGATTATTAAGAAGAGATTGACAATTTGTGTGTGCGTGCGTGTGTGTTTGGCTGGTCAGAGGGGTTCTATTTATCTCTAATTACAGTCAAATACACGATCAAAGTTTCCAGAGCAGATTCCCGTGCAGCTGGCAGCTATTCAATTCATCAGTTCCCATGTGTGTGTTATTCCACTGTTTTAACAAGGCACGTGTGTGTTATATTGTGTGTGTTGGTTTATGTCAAAGGGTCTATCCCATAATAACTGACAGCCATCATTATCACTTCCTTTGTCTTTCTAATCCGGCTAATGAAATCTGCTAATGTCAATATACAATTACATCTGTGATTACGTTTGATGGGACCGGTGAGCCTCGCTGCCATTCTCCCTGCCAGAAAAACCTGACCACTGACAAGCCATACTGACAGCCAATCCGAATTGGAGATGAGACTTTTTTCACTGACCATGTCCAAGAAAACACCATTCACTCTGACAGTTCATCTTTTCCACTGTTTCATGCTGTTCCACAGACAAACTCTTCGCCAGAGTAAGAGGGACGTGGTGAAAGCACGGCAGAGAAGCATCTGATTATACATGCAGGGTGGTAATTACACCTAAATTGAGGGCACATGGTAATCTATGTTAGGTCATCTCCAATTCCATTTACATTTCCACATTTTGGACTAATTAAAACTGTAAATAATCAGAGCCTGTGTGTGTGCGTGGGTGAGAATGAGAGAAGGGCAGAGAGAGGGTGTGTAGGTAGACACAATTTCTTTGAGATGAGCCAGTGGAGGAATATTCCCATCACATGCAGGGAAATTAAGTGCACACACTATGATTTTGACAAGACAAGAGAGAAGATAAAGGTTTTTTTATGAGAGAAAGGGGAAAAGAGAGTAGAAAAAGTGCTTCTCGAGCAAAAAATTTGCAGATTGCGATGTGTTTAATTGAAAGGAACATCGGAGCAGCAATATCGACATGGAGGGATGGGTGACAAGAGGTTTTCTCAGAGTACAGCTCGTCCACCAGTTGGTCTATAAAACTGACAGAACTCAGAGGTAAACTTTCAGGGTTGCCTTTCCCCCCTACGGCAAATTGAAGTGAGATGAGGAAAAGGGGAATTTGCTATTCTCGGAGCCTTTGCCCTTCGAGGTGTTGGAAGAGCACAGAATATGAATGTGGGAGAGAGGAAAAAACACTTCAGAAGATGAAAACAAGCATTGAAAGGCAACTGGAGCAATATAACCAGCTCTGGCATAAATACTGGATGATCGCCAATAAAGAATGCAGGTCGATGTCAAAAAGAGCGAGGCTGAGAGACGCTTAAGTCGACCTGCTTTGCACAAAACACACTCTTAGCCTAGGGTTATCTGTAGCCCTGGGCTGATTTGGCCCCCAGCTAACAAGCAATGAAAGAGCAAGTGTCAAATTGTCCCCTGGAAACTACATTTGGAGACACACTAGTCACTCCTGCAGACATTCTCAGCATTTCATTGGCAACTTTCAACAGCCATTTGTTTCAAAAGTCTCCTTAACCTTCATCAACTGTTCACTCACTGCCAAACAAACAGAGCAACATTAGCTTAGTTACTACCAACAATGTCGGTGCAACGATTCCTCGAGGCTTCAAAAGCTTATTCAAGATGTTGCCCCGCCCCCAACAAAAAAAAAAGAAGTTTAACTATCCACAGAGCTGGATAAGGTCTTAAAGCAGAGAAGGACCCTCCAGCAAGGAACTCAAACCACAACCACGGCAACAAGGAGGCCAGTAGGGAAGAAAAAATGTATGTGGGTGTGCACATGACAAAGAAAAAGGCAGAGGCCGAGCCAAAAGACCACACAGAAACATCCTGCAGCGATTCAATTATTCAATTTTAGGAGGAGAAAGATAGAGCAGATCGCAGTGAGTGAAAGGCTCATCCTCATCTGTGATTGATTAAGAGAGACTGGGACAGGATTCCTTATACCGCAAAAACAAGCCAGCAGAGAGGAGAGGAGACGAGACGAGACGAGACGAGAGAAGAAGAGAGGAGAGGAGACGAGAGGAGACGAGAGGAGAGGAGACGAGAGAAGACGAGACGAGAGGAGAGGAGACGAGGGGAGAGAAGAGGAGACGAGAGGAGCTCTTTAACATGTCCCATGACTATGCAATTTATAGCACACTAAAAACCAAAAAGCGCATCTCAATCCTGGATCAACTCATGATGAGAACAAAGGTTCAACGCACACAATGATCCCAGGACTGTTCAAGCTTTGGTTCTTTGCATAAACCTTTCAGTAAGAGCTTTTTCCATGCTGCATCAAACCCTTTTAGTTGGTCTATAAACAGCAGACCCAGAATGAAATAGAATCCTTAAAGTACAAATGGTTGGCACCTTCTACATTTTTCATATGTGATACAAAATTGTTATAACTATTACACGTCTAAAAAAAGCAAGATATGAACCCAAATATTTCAGCTTTTGTGCATATTTCTGAATCTAACAGGGCCAAAACATTCAGCCAAACTCATTACAAGTCTGTCATTATCCACAAGGCAAGACAAATGGTTTGTTTTTCTCCTGAGAAAAAGGAGGATGTAACCTTAGATTTGAAGCTGTCACAGAAAATAAATGGCCACTGTAACAAAAGAAAGGTTTGGGTTGTCTTAAATCCTGCCAAACCTAATGACAATTTTAGGCCAAGCTACCAGAGTGCCTACAGATGAGAATTCCCATCTAAGTTCAGCCCACTTCTCTGCACCCTAATGAGAGGAAGCTAAAATAACTGCAACGATCCCTCGCCTGAAAAATGACTTTCTGAAATGGATAGTGCTGCGCTGAATGTTATCAGCGGCAATATTAATCTCTCACATAGTGGTAATCACTAATTTCAGATACTGTTGAGTTGATGAATGGGGTTTTAATAAACTGAGCTATTGTTAACAACTTAATGCGGACTAATTTATCAAGGTCATAATTACTCATGGACTGCAAAGACACATTAGAAGGGAAAAGTGCAGGAGCATTAGTGAGAAAGGAAGATCTAAATAAAAAGGAAATAGAAACAGACATGCCAAATGACTATTAATGTTCACTTTATGTATCATAATTAGACACTTCATGACAAATAAAGTAACATTTGATCATGATTCAGAGGAGTTGAGCACAACTATCTACAAGCTGGCAGGCTGTTTTTAGAAATGTGGAAAACAGTGACATCAATTGGTAGATTAAAGTAGCATGTCACTTTCTAACTGCTCTTTTTTTAAATAAATATGTTGGGGGGGGGGGGAAGTGAAAAGGCAGTTCTCTCATGCTCATGATGTATAAACAACACCAGCTGTGATAATAATAAGATCAGTCATTACTCTGATTAAAGCATTAGTCAGCAAACACATGTCTGCACACCACCCACATGTTTATCTATAAGAAAACATGTGGGTGGTTTTGATATGTACCAAATATATTCAAGCATTAATACATTTTACAGTGTTTAGTAAGAGAACATCATCCTCTTATTAAACTGCAACTTCCCTAAGGACCTCCAAGTTCTAAGAAGGTCATCATAAAAAAGAAATCCTAATGAAAAATAATAAATCTGTAGGAAAATGTAGATATTGCCTAGTGAACATCAGGCTGGCAATGCATACATTGTAAGAAGCCACATTTTCAGGCTGTACTTGTGAATGACACATTGCGGTATCAAACAGTAAGACATGCAAGAGACAGGGCTCTGACAATATTATAATAACCACTGATCATAGTAGTTACTAGAGCATAGGAATGTTAATGAATAAATATATATAGATATTATATCGAGGTTATAGTAAGAAAACACATATCGCATATCGAGTCATTGCTGAGACCATAGCTTTCCAAGAGACCACATTAAATAATTGCCGACTTCATCTTGACAAAGTCAATGTGGCTCGTGTAAGAGCAGAAGCCACGAGGCAAGCAGGGAGAAAAAGCATGCATATGAACCTGAATGTGTGGGACTCACCAGTTTGTTCTCTTGCAGGTAGAGTCTCTGCAGTTTAGGGCAACCTTTAGCCAAGGCCACCATGCCCTCATTCGTGATACTGTAGCACTGACCAAGGTGGATGTCCTTCAGCTCACTGCAGTGCTCTCCAAGCTGAAAGCCAAAAAGGTCACATTATTGAGAATATTTCAAATTAAATAACATCTTCACCTGAATCACTTTATTGGAGTATTACTTCATTTTTACGTAAGAGTAAACCGAGCATATGAGGCGGGTGTATCACAAGCAGACATTGAAAAGGGAAGTTTGCATTTCCTCATGTCTCTATATCGATACCTTTTTAAGTGCTTCATCTGTCAGTTTGTCCTGGTTGCCCACATGCACCTTCACCAGCAGAGGGCAGTGTGTGGCCAAGGCCGATAGAGACATGTCTCCTAGCTGCTTGCATCGGTATGCTGTGTACTTCTGCAGGCCTGGGCAGTGTGAGGCCAGGGAGGACACGCCGTGGTCATGGACACCTCTGCAGTCAGAGATGTTAATCTCTGTCACATTCTGCCTTCGTGACGCTATCTTCACCAGGAGATCATCATTTACCTGGGGAACACAAGGAGATGATAAACATAAATATTGTTAACTATATGGGTTGACAAGACAGCTATCTATCATGTTGGCAAGAAGGTAAGGCCTCTCCTGCTCAATCACCCCAGGCCAGATTATGAGCTTAATGTCTAAAATGAAAGATAAGAACAATTGAAAAACTAATGAATCACTTGTGAATAGAAAGATTGATGACAAAAATGCATCATTCTGTGTGCTTACTTGTTGTAGGCCACTGAGATCGATTTGCTTCCAGAACTGGAAGTCCAAGCAGAGGTCCCTCCAGTACTTACACACCAGAGAGGCACACAGACAGCGCTCCTTCACTGTCAAGTGAGAGAGCACCTGCAAGGAGAAAAAACAAGATATATAAACACAAGGACAAATCCATTTAGAAAGCACGTTTCCAGTCTAGTAAAAGCTATTCAACAATATTTCAGATAGCGTGGCTAAGTTGTCGTCGTGGTATGTTTGCATTTCTCCTAGCACCCAACCAATGGTACATATTCACAAAACACCTATTTCTTTGATGAACTCTGACCTTAAGCAGGATGGAGGAAGGCAGGTGGTTGATACTTGAGTGATCAGTGGCGTCAGAACTTCTCGCCTGGCAGTCGTCATAATGCTGCAAGCAGCAGGGGGACGAGTCTGAGCTGTGCGGCAGATCAGCATGAAGACCCAACCCGCAGCAGCCATCAGCAGGTGAGGAGGAAGAGGAGGAGGCAGAGGAAGAAGAAGTGGAGGAGGAGGGGAGTGGACAGGTGGGGAGGTGGCAGTGGCCAGTTTCAGAGTTTGAGGCGGCCTCTCCTCCACCTCCTCCTCCCACTCCCCCGTTCTCCAGCACTCCGTCAGGGGCGGCGAAGGCGCAGCGCGGCTGCTTACAGGGGGTGCACCTCTGCACCTCTGAGCACTTCCTCTTACACACCTGCACCCAGAGACACGCACAGATCAGCCAGGTGGAACAGTTACGGCAGGCAAGTCAAGGCACATTGAAGTGTAAAGCCTTTAAATACAATTACAGTGTTTAAGAAACTCCCACCACCCACATTATCAAACGATAACAACAGCACCCTATACCTTGGATATTCAATTAGAACAGAATAAAAGAGGATTAAAAAATGCTGTTGCTTTTGGAGTAAAGTTTGAATAGACTTATATACATACTAGTATGAAAAGTTGGGGCACTGGTCAACAAACCCACTGTAGACGATTTATATATTGTAATGCTCATAAGTCACTTCCAGAACAGTTTTTTCATCTTGTCAAACATATTTTTAACAATTGTTATTTTGTTCATTGTACATGGTAGAACTCATCTGGGTGACAGATTGTTTAATTTAAATAGGTAAACAGTCTCCAATGGGCACTTATGTTTAAACTTTCTGAAATGTTCTTGAGTTAAAGCCCTATGAATAATGAGACTCTTTTCACTACTTTTCATTTTGTATTTGGAATTGTTGTATTTCATTATGTATGTTGCATTGTTGGGGGAGCTCAGGTCAGAAGAATTTCATTGCCATTCCTGCACTGTAGATTTTTGCATATGACAATAAAACCTTTGAATTTGAATCAGCTGTACTGGTAAATCACGGCTGTTTCGGCCCTCTGAACTGATTTGGGTCAATGCTGCATCTTCAGCAGCTACAACATGTGGTGCTGTTGGTGCGGCTCCCTACCATCTCAGTGTGGTCACTGGTGCTGCCAGGCACAGGTAGGGGAATGTTCACAGACACCCCAGCGGATCTGAATAGCGCGGGTGGTGGAATCAGTTTGGCAGGAACAGCTGATAAGAGGCTCCTTCCTTGGCCCTCCCAGATAGCCAGCTCCCGCGGAGACAGCAGGAACTTGGAGCAGTCTTCAGGAGATGTGAGTGTTGCGTATCGCTCGGCAAGCTTCGAGGCAGCTGCTGCTCCGATGCCAACGCCACCCACACCAGGAACACTGATCCCGGTGATGCTGTTGTGACGGCACGCACTGCCGTTGATGCCGGCCTCCAAATGGTCACCTTCGTCGTCAAGACCGCTGCTGTTGCTGTGGACGATGAAGCAGAGCATGCAGGGCAGCTGCAGGAAACAGTTCCTCTTCTTCTTCTTCCTGTGATGCAACTTACGAGTCCTCTTCTTCAGGCGGTAACCATTTTTCGAGAGAAGATGGCCCATATAGATGATTCAAGGAAACTCTAGAACAGACAGGATTCAATTCATTAGTAAATCCATGATTTGGGAATATTCTAAGGACCTTGACAATTAAACTAGTGGTATCATTGTTGGTATCATATTTGTGTCTATACAATACATTCTGGTTTTTTTACCAATTATTACATACTTTGGTATTTTGATGCTTTTAGTTCCCTACTTTGAACCTTGTTTGTGTTTCATTTACCCAAACAAGCATGATATTTAAAACTTGTAAGTGCTTAATGCAGTCTTAAAGGTGGGGTAGGTAATTTTGGAGAAACCAGCTCGAGTGTGCTAGAATTTAAAAATACACAGCCGGAACAAATCTGCCACTTCCTTACAGAGCCCCTCCTCCAACACACACGAACACGCACATGACCAATGAGGGCACGAGATAAGTTTGTGCACAGATGGAAAGCTGACAGGCAGGTAGGCCATCCAGTTATTTTAGCCGGGCCGGCTCAGATGTACTACGGCTTCCACAGATGCCTTTTTTTTATGGATTTTTTGTCAAAGCACTTAAGATGCTTTGCTATCGGGATGTTAAGAGCATTCCATGGAATATAACAAAAAGTGTATCTCGAGCCAGTTTCTCAAACATACCTACCCCACCTTTAACATAATCTTCAATAAATTAAAAACATTACATTCATATATGTGAAAAGAATACAAAAAGAACAACACACAACAACATTTAGGATGGTGCAAAAAAAAGAGCTAAGGTTTAATCAACCCTTCAATCGAGTGGTAGAGGAATCGCTCCTAAACAAAATCTTAATGCTAGCTATTAGCACAAATGTTTGAGTGCATATCACTTGTAAAGGAAGGCCCTGATAAAGTCAAGCTATTCTGCATCACTGTCCTTTGCTAATGTGCTCTTGTCGTTTCTCCTAAAGAGCGAATTTTGCAGTTGAAATGATAGAAAACAAAGTGACAAATTAATTTATTGAAAACAATAGTAATGATTTTCAAAAATAAGTTTGAGTCTGTCCTCCAACACACACGAACACGCACATGACCAATGAGGGCACGAGATAAGTTTGTGCACAGATGGAAAGCTGACAGGCAGGTAGGCTATCCAGTTATTTTAGCCGGGCCGGCTAAAATGATTGGTCGTGCTTTTTACAGTACTACGGCTTCCACAGATGCCTTTTTTTTATGGATTTTTTGTCAAAGCACTTAAGATGCTTTGCTATCGGGATGTTAAGAGCATTCCATGGAATATAACAAAAAGTGTATCTCGAGCCGGTTTCTCAAACTTACCTACCCCACCTTTAACCTTGTCCTACTGAATGTACATTGCACACAAATAAAGACTATGGATACTTTCACTTTCACTACATGGAATAAATAATCCCCTTTCCAACCCATGACTGTAATTATGAACTCTCAATCTGAATGTACACAAGACATAAAATTAGATTAAAAGAAGAGAGGAACGTGGCCTCTTCCTTATATGTGAAGGACCTATCCCCTGTGTGCCTTGGCATATAGTGAAAGAGTTGGGCAAATAACAATATCAACACATGAGGCTCATGAGCACAACACTTTGAAACCGAGCTGTCGAAACCATCCGACCTATATTACTTGTGTTATGAATACATTACTTGTCACACGTTGATTACGCTGTCTACGTCAGAGTAATAAATAACACATTCGTTATTGTAATGCGATGGTCTAGCAAGGAAGTAGCACCGATGCAACGTCTGGTTGCAGCCGAATGAAAAGATGTCAACATTGAACAGGTGGCCATTTGTTTCTCTCACACAGTCACAAACGTTGTACTTGTTGATTCTATTTTACTGCGACAGGTTTATGTTGAACATTATCTCCATCATAGCGATACACTCACGGCCCTAGTTTAGAGCAAACACACGGTTACAGTGCTAACCCAGTTGAGCTTTCTGACAGGCTAGCTTGCTCCATCACTGGATGCTAACTTAGCTGTAGCCATAACATGAAACATGTCTCACCACTTCACACGGTGCTCCCTCACTCCGGACGGTGCTCGCATAATACTGCTATGCTGCACAGCCGAGCTGAGTGCTGACAAGTCCGGGCAGTAGAGACGAGGAGGTGAGAGACCCTGCTACAGAACTAGCGTAGTGTTTATCCACACAGTGCAGCTCTGGCTCTGCTGCTGCTGCTGGAGGACAACACTTCCGCACCGAGAGGGCAGCGCGAAGGAAGCCGACGAGGCCGATTCGTAATTCGTCATGGAGGCTGGATGAAGGGCCTGGAGGGAGAAGTAAATCCCAATGTGACCCAAATTGTATAACCGTGTGTGCGTTATCATAGTTTTACGTTTCAGAATATATATTTTTTGCGTTAATGTTTACATTCTTCCCGGACTATAACTATTTTTCCCCATGTGTCATTGAGAACCCAATCTTGTCGACATTAATTTGATCGCATTCTTTCTTATGTTTCAAATTCATTTAAAGTGTATCTGTGTTAGTGTTAGTGAGATAGATAATTATGCCTTATTCAAGAGTCATTAATTGTTATGGAATGGAGCTTATAGCTAAATATGTCATAACAAATTTGAGAATCGTGTTTTTTATACACGGTCCTTGTTTAATAAGACTATAGCCTATGCCATGACAGTACCACGACCAAAAAACACACAAAACAGCATTATAAACAGCAAGTATGTAAAAGATACATTAAAGTAATAAAAAAAATCACGGTTAGGTGAATATTTCCATAAAAATGTAAGGATGTCACCAGGGTTATCTTGGTTTAGTCTTAAAACGAATTAGCAATAGCATCTAATAATTTAAAAAACTAACATAGTAGCAAATAATATAACATGGATATGAACTACTGTTACTTTGCTTTTCACTTCCCCCCTACTCTTTCCTACTCTTTCCCACTCTCTCTCTCTCTCTTTCTCTCTCTCTCTCCCACACAGACGCGCGCGCACACACCAACACGCACGCACGCACACACACATGCAAATTATGGGCGTGAATTTGCAGCCACCAACTCTTCAAGCCTGAACAGCAACTCCCAAAATAGCAATGCTAGTTCGGGAAGCCTCAGGAAAAAATGGCTGAAGCAATTTCACCAATAATTCGACAAGTAACTATAGAAAACAAGGACATTGGGAGCGTTTCTATCGACTATCATCTTGAAGACGTCGAAGATTGTTTAATTTACAACCGGCATGGAGTCTCCTTTCCGTTCAAGAAATTATATCGAGACAGGAAATCGGTGATAATTTTCGTGCGGGTAGGGGAATAACTTTGTTTGGCTTTATTTTGCTGGTGACTCATAGCCTGCACTGCCTCAGGTAAAATCATGAGAGGCTCAAGTTTATGTTGATTGAGCCTCAAAAGGCATCAAAGTAGGCAACAGTTGAGCATCAGCCTTGCTGGACAGATGCAGCAACAGCTTCCTCTGCTATGAAGGGATGGAGAGCTATAGGTGAAGACAGGGGGATAAACAGTATTAAGGTGCAAGACCAGAGTTTTAAAAAGTAATGTAATATCGCATATCTAGTCTATTTATGTATTACATTTGGTGTCTCTGCAGAATTTCCTGTGCTACAGCTGTAAGGAATATGTGGAGGATTTGAGTAAAATACCTAAAGAAACACTAAAGGTAAGTCCTGATTCACAACTAGTCTACTGGAGGCTATTACTTTGTTGCAAACTTGACATACAAATTATAGTTAATGCCCTATGGTAGCTTGGATGCAGGGGCGGACTGGCCATCGGGACGTTCGGGACGAATCCCGATGGGCCGGTACTGAAGTGGGCCGGTCGGACGATGTGGGCCGGCCGGTAAGGGCTCGACATTATAAATGGCCCGCTGGCCCGGAAGCACTATTTAGACACCCCGGGCCAGCATAACGTACTTTCCACTTGCCCGCTCGGGCCACTAAAAATATTGCTTTAAAAAAAAAAATTGTCCTGTGGTATTGGTATTTTGACT